GACTAACTTTGAGGTTAAGAATAAAGTATATAAAATATAAATGTGTTACACTCCACAATCAAAAGACATAGAGTGGCTGAATGGATAAAAGAAGATCCAACAAGAGACAAATGAAAATGAAAACAGAACATACCAAAATTTATGGAATGAAGCAAAAGGAGTACTAAGAAATTTTATACTGATAAGTGCTAACATTCTTTCTAAGAAAGGAAGATCTCAAATAGCCTAAATTTACACTAGAAAAAGAAACTAAACTCAAAGTTGGCAGATTAGACATAAATAAAACAGAAAAACAATAGAAAAAAATTAATGAAATAGTTGATTTTTTGAAAAGATAAAAACAGACAAACCTTTAGCTAGACTAAGGAAAGACAAGACTCAAGTAAGTAAAATCAGAAATGAAAGGAAACATTACAGCTGATGCCACAGAAATTGGAAAAGATGAAGAAGGACTATTATAAATGACTATATGTTGATAAACTGGACAACTGAGAAGAAATAAACTCCTATATACCTAAAAACTTTCAAGTCTGAATCAAGAATAGAGAGCTTGAACAGGTTAGTTACATGTAAAGAGATTAAACCAGTAATCAGAAAGTTCCCAAAAAGAAAAGCCCACAACCAGGCGGCTTCAGCAGATGAATCTAATGGTGAATCCTACCAAACATTCAAAGGAGAATTAATACCAATGTTTAAACTTCTAAAAAAAAATCTAACAGGAAACACTTCCAAACTCATTTTATGAGATTAGGATCACCAAAGCCAAATCAAGAAAACTGCAGGCCAATATATCTGACAAACATGGGTGCAGAAAACCTCAAAAAAATGAACAAACTGAGTTTGTTAGCATTTAAAAGGGTCATACAACATGACACAGTGGTATTTATCCCTGAGATGCAAGAATGGTTCAACATATGCAAATCAAACAATATGATACATCACATTAACAGAACGAAGGATAAGAATCACACCATTTTCTCAATAGCTGCAGAAAAAGCATTTGACAAAAAACACTCTTTCATGATTTAAAAAAAAACCTCTCAACAAATTAAGCATGGAAGCAACTTACCACAACACAATAAAGGCCGTATATGAAAAGCCCAAAGCTAACATTATTTTTAATGGTGAAAAACTGAAAGCTTTTCCTATAAAATTCAGAACAAAGTAAAGATAGATACCCACTCTTGCCATTTCTATTCAGCATAGTACTAGAAGTCCTAGCCAGAGTAATTAAGAAAAAGAAAATGCATTCAAATGGAAACGGAAAAAGTAAAATTTTCTCTTTTTGCAGAAGTCAATCTTATATGTAGAAATCCTAAAGAACAGCATCCAAAAAAAAATATATTAGAATAAATGAATTCAATATAGTTGCATGATACAAAATCACCATACAAAAATCAGTTGAGTTTCTACACACTAACAACAAACTACCCACAAAAAAAATCAAAGAAACAATCCTATTTACAATAGCATTTAAAACAACCTAAATTCTTAGAAATAAACTTCACCAAGGAAGTGAAAGACCTACACACTAAAAACTACAAAACGCTGATAAAAGACATTTTAAAAGACTTTAGAGGAAAAGACAGTCCATGTTCAAAGACTGGAAAAATTAATATTGTTAAAATGTCCATACTTTCCAAAGCAATCTGCAGATTCAAGGCAATCACTATCAAAATCTCACATTTATTTTTAATAAAAATGGGAAAAAAATAAACCTAAGATTTATATGAAACCACAAAGGACTCCAAATAGCCAAAGAATTCTGAGCAAGCAGAACAAAGCTGAAGGCATCACAGGTTCTGATACCAAAATATGTTACAAAGCTACCAAAATCAAAACAGTATAGTACTAACATTAAAAAAAAGACAACAGAACAGAGAGCCCAGAAATAAACCTAAGCATATCTAGTCACTTGACCTTCAACTAGGTTGCTAAGAATATACAATGGGGAAAGGATATCCTCTTCAATAAACACTGTTGGGAAAACAATACATATATGCAAAAGAATGATACAGGATTCTTATTTCACACCATGTACAAAAATAAACTCAAAATGAATTAAAGACAAACATAAGACTTGAAACTGTAAAACTCTGAAAAGAAAGCAGTGAGGAAGATTTTTAGGTTCAGCAATGATTTCTTGAATACCAAAAAGGGGAAAAAAAAAAAAAGGGAGGCAAAATAAACAACAAAGTGAAAACACAACCTATGTAATGAGAGAAAATGTCTGAAATTCATATGATTAACACTTGAAAGATACAGGACACCTTGTCTTACAATTTAGTAGCAAACTGAACAAACAAACAACTCTACTTAAAAATGGGCAAAGGGCTTGAATAGACACTTCTCCCAAAAAGACATACAAATGGCAAACTAAAACATGGAAAGCCATTCAATAATCACTAATCACCAAGGAACAACAAATTAAAACCACACTGAGATATCACCTCACCTCATTTGGATAGTTGTTATCAAAAAATAAATAAGTAAGAAGTGCTGGTGAAGGTGTGGAGAAAAGGGAGTCCTTGTACATGCTAGTGGGAACACACACTGGTGAAGCCACTATGGAAAACATAGTTATCATTTGTAACAACATGGGTGAACCTGGAGGATATTATGCTAAATGAAATAAACCAGAAACGTAAGAACAAATACTACATGATCCCATTTATATGAGGAATCTAAATAAGCCCTAGACACTTACTATACACTGTAATGCCTACATTGCATACTTAAAATTTGCTAAGAGGGTAAATCTTAAGTATTCTTATCACAAAAAATGTAAAATAATAAAGAGGATGAAAAGAAACTTCTGGATGTGATAGAAATGTTTATGGCACTGATTGGGTTGATGGTTTCACAGGTGTGTGTGTGTGTGTGTATATATATCTCCAGACTCATCAAGTTGTACACATTAAATATATACAGTTTTTTTGTATATCAACCACATCTCAATAGTTTAAAAAATAAATTAAGTATATCAACTATCATAGTGCAGAGTAAGTAATTACTAAATGGTAGATATTATTCATTATTACTCAGTTCTCTCACATCTTCCAGACAAATATGCCACTCTACTTAGTTCCTGCAACCCACTGAACATCATCTATCACTTTATACATTGTAGCAGCATTATGTATCTGTACACTCATTTCCTTCACCAGAGGATGACCTCTTCTGAAACAGGGACTGCAGTGCATGGGTGGCCCTAAAATCAAAGCCCTCAAGACAGTGTCACAAACAGTGGAACTGTTTGCTTAAGTGTTCACTGAAAAACATAAGTGAGTCAATCAGTCAATCTAGTTATGACGCAGACAATAAAATACCCTATCTCAGCCAATAATTACAAGTTCACTGTTAAGATTTTTCCAAGACTGTTGTCTGGAATGAGAAGCCAAGTGGGCCTTAGGAAGCATCACTACAAACAAAGCTAGTGGAGGTGACAGTATTCAAGTTGAGCTATTCCAAATCCTAAAAGATGATGCTGTTAAAGCTGCACTCAATATGTCAGCAAATATGGACAACTCAGCAGTGGCCACAGGACTGGAAAAAGGTCAGTTTTCATTCCAATCCCAAAGAAGGGCAATGCCAAAGAATGTTCAAACTACCATCCAATTGCACTCATCTCACACACTAGCGAAGTAATACTCAAAATTCTCCAAGCCAGGCTTCAAGAGTACGTGAACCAAGAACTTCCGGATATTCAAGCTGGATTTATAAAAGGCAGAGGAACATAAGATCAAATTGCCAACATCCGTTGGATCATATAAAAAGCAAGATAATTCCAGAAAAATATCCACTTCTGCTCTATTGATTATGCCAAAGACTTTGACTGCATAAATCACAACAAACTGTGGAAAATTCTTAAAGAGATGGGAATACCAAACCACCTTACCTGCCTCCTGAGAAATCTGTTTGCAGGTCAAGAAGGAACAGTTAGAACCACACATGGAACAACAGACTGGTTCCAAATTGAGAAAGGAGTACGTCAAGGCTGTATATTGTCACCCTGCTTATTTAAGTTATATACAGAGTACATCATGTGAAATGCTGGGCTGGATGAAACACAAGCTGGAATCAAGGTTGCAGGGAGAAATATCAATAACCTCCGACATGCAGATGATACCACCCTTATGGCAGAAAGTGAAGAGGAAATGAAGAGCCTCTTGATGCAAGTGAAAGAGGACAATGAAAAAGCTGGTTTAAAACTCAACATTTAAAAAATGAAGATCATGGCATCTGGTCCCATCACTTCATGGCAAACAGATGAGGAAACAATGAAAACACTGACAGACTTCACTTTCTTGGGCTCCAAAATCACTGCAGATGGTGACTGTAGCCATGAAATTAAAAGACGCTTGCTCCTTGTAAGAAAAGCTATGACCAACCTAGACGGCATATTAAAAAGCGAGACATTACTTCGCTGACAAAGGTTCATCTAGTCAAAGCTATGGTTTTTCCAGTAGTTATGTATGGATGTGAGAGTTGGACTATAAAGAAAGCTGAGCACCGAAGAATTGATGCTTTTGAACTGTGGTGTTGGAGGAGATTCTTGAGAGTCCATTGGATATCAAGGAGATCCAACCAGTCAATACTGAAGGAAATCAGTCCTGGATATTCACTGGAAGGGCTGATGCTGAAGCTGAAACTCCAATACTTTGGCCATCTGATGTGAAGAACTGACTCATTTGAAAAGACCCTGATGCTGGGAAAGATTGAAGGCAGGACGAGAAGGGGACAACAGAGAATGAGATGGTTGGATGGCATCATCGACTTGATGGACATGAGTTTGAGCAAGTTCCAGGAATTGGTAACAGGAAGGCCTGGCGTGCTGTAATCCATGGTGTCATAAAGAATCAGACACAACTGAGCAACTGAACTGAACTGTTGTCTGAAATGTAAATAACCCTGGGAAGAAGTAAACTGTTATGAGTCATTCTTATCTTACTGAGGCAAAGAAAAAAATATAAGAAATCTGAAGCGAGTGCAAAGGATACGCCGTTCCTCTGATACGTCTGATCTTTCCTGGATCTATGAGTTGAACAGGCTTCAGGACCTTCCTCACAGGACATGAAAAAAACACTTCACCTCCTCCTCCAGGCGGCATTCCCCGTCGTAAAACCTGCAGGCATAATGAAAAAGAAGAGGTCGGGATTCAACAGAGTGGATGACACCCAGCCAGGCTGGTGTACACCAAGAATGAAAACCAACATTAGAATGCAGAAGGCTTTCATACCCAACTTGTCCATCTCCTCAAGATCAACAGCACCTAATGTTAGCTCCACAGGGGCACATGTTGAGCAAGGGGACCATGTGGTGTGTCAGAAAAAGCAGTAGACACCGACCCTACATGTTCCAGTCAAAGCCAGAGAGGTCACTCCACCACCAGAACTTGTCTCCTCAACCTTAAAATGAGGGACTAGTCAGCTCATCAGCTTACCCACTTCTTAACCACCAAGAACCCTTTTCTCCTCTTCTGGAATTAACTGGTCTATCAAAACTCTATGTTATTAAATAAAAATGAAGTAATTTCCCTTGTTTAAAAAACATCACTTCAAAAAGCAGAGATGCTCAACAGCTTAAGATATCCAGTGTTATCACAATGGATTGATATAATTCCCTTAAATAGCAAACAAACAGATGCTTAAATTAGTTCAACTAGGTTTTGAAAGTAAAGTACTAAAAAGTCTCAGGGACATTCAGACTGGTAGGCTCTGAACACAAATTAAAACAAATGATCCAGATCAGAGAGGTAGCATGGTCAGAATCCCAGCTCCGTGACTTATTGGCTAAGTTGTTATAAGTCAAGGAGTTAATGTATGTAGAATGCTGACAACATCTACTACCACTAAATAAGTGCAATATATCCATTACTCTTGTCATTACTAAAGGGACCCTTTCAGCTCAAAGTCTGCAATGCTAGGTTCAAGAATCCTGTGGGTCTTCTTAAAATGGTGACTTCAAATGTGCCACACACACACTGAGCCATACAGCTCCTACCAACAGTGAGTTGGTAAGAAAATATTTCACACTGATTTATGCCACCAACAATCTGGACATTCGTACCTTTAATTCAAAAGATTCACCATCAATCCCAAACTGTTTCAGTAGAGGGAGTGCTGTTGCCTTCAGAACATCAACCTGTAGAATAATTTCAGGAAAAAAAAGTTTAGTTAAACCTTGAGATGGAAAGAAGAATCCACAAAGCAAGTTAAGGCTTAGCCTCCAGGTAGATGAAGCAGTCTGGTAAAGAGAAAAGAGGCTGGCTTACAACTGAGGGCATGGGTTGGCTCTGCTCTCGACTATAGACTATGATTTTATAAGCCACTGGCTTCTCTGAGCCCCCTTTCCACATTTATAGTATTACCCGCCTACATTATGAGTCATCATGAACATCACATGCTACCATGCAAAAAGCACCAAGAAACTGCTGGGCTCATACAGAAAACAAACTGAGACCTCAGCTCATTCTTACAAGTATAGACACTAAGCAAAAAAAATGGCCTGTTTAAGTATTCTTTATTTATTATGACTATTTCATGTTTAGAGTTGGTGGCACTCCAGGCTAAAGTGAATCAACTATGCAACCTAACAGTTCTACGGAAGAAAGCTGCTGACACCCACACAGGCAGTTAAAGGTGGTGGTGATTCTACAAGGCAGTGGGGGCCTCAGAGGGAGGGCAGCCTCAAACTGCACCAAACAACACAAACCCCTAAGTGCAATGAAGACATCCACAGCTGATGGCAAGACACTGTCACGTGTAACTGTTATCATCTCCTCATTCAAAACTCCTAGGAGGCCTGCGATCCTTCCCTATTCATTTGCAGATTCCTCACAGGGAATAATGTGATATTCAAATCACGTTATCGAAGAAGTCAGTGACTGCTGTCTCAGCGGCAACCGGGGAAACAAGAGCAATCCCTTGCTTGTTCCCAATGGAACAAGAGATGTTTATCAGCCCTGTAGGGGCTGATCCTACAGCGGGAAGCATTGAGGGCAAGCAGCGCAAGCAGAGGCTCTGGGAAAAAGCCCTGGTCCCAGTCCAGGCTCGAGTTTGCTGTGTGGCCTCAAACAAGAAAATCTCAACTTCTAAATTCCCTTGTCTCTAAGGTAAGGAGCTCAGCCTGCCTGTCTCCAAGTTGCTACCAACTCTTACATGCTAAGATTCAACAGAACAATACTCGACCAGGGCTTTATGGCAGAGAACAGTCCCCAACTAAATATTCGTATATCAGAAAATTAACCAGAGGTAGAAATGACCTATGTAGCCTAGGAACATGTTCAGCATGGATCAGGTGGGGCAGAAGCAGTTACTGGGAAAATCCATTAACGATTAGCTAAATTCAATTAAATATTAAAGCTACGCACAACTCAGAAACTTAAAATAGGCATCTGGAATTGCCGAAACCAAGAAGAATTCAGTCAAGGCTAGTACAAAGGGCAGCTGGGGAGAAGACCAAGCCAGATTCTGGAAACGGTGGGGGCTGCAAGGATGCCGGTTACTCCACGAGCACGGCTCCTGGAGCTGGGTGTCCTCCAGCTCTCCAGGGGAAGGGAAAGGCAAGAGAACAGAACATCCCTGCGTTCTTCCTACCCACACCTGGAGTCAAATAGGAGGAAGTCAAATTGATTCTGAGGGCCAGTCAGGAGCCCAAATATAACTCCAGGTGCGGTCCTGTCTCCTGGGTCTCTCCATCTGACACGAAGGGCAGGCCCCTCGCTGAGGTGGGACAAGGGCTGGAAAGGCAGCTGTGGGCTGGAGCCCCACTCAGCCTCTAACAGCCTCTGAGGCCTGGACGCTCTCTCCTCAGGGCTTTAGCTGCCTGCTGTAGAAAGAGGGGCCCGACTGGAAAGTTCCACAACCTCCTCAGGCTCCACACACTGGATCTAGCAAAGTGGGGGTGGTCTGTGGGTTCTGCTTCAAGGAAACCTATCTGTTACTCTGCAGTCAGAGAGGAAAGGCAAAAGTCTGACCCAAGTGGAACCTCAGGGCAAAGGCATCGCCCCCAGCCCAACCAGTCAACAGGTAGAAATATGATCAGACCCATAGCTTCCCAGGTGGCCCTAGTGGTAAAGAACTTGTCTGCCAATGCAAGACACCTAAAAGACTCAGGTCAGGAAGATCCCCTGGAGAAGGCAATGGCAATCGAGTATTCCCCAGTATTCATTCCTGGAGAATCCCACGGACAGAGGAGCCTGGCAGACTAGAACCCATAAGGTCTCAGAGAGTCAAACATGGCTGAAGCAACTCAGCACACACCGCAACAAACAGAAAAAGGGAAGAAACCTGGTCCCTTCAGTTCCCTTGTCTGAAATAGTGATAAGAACATCTACTCAACCCTCATGAATCAAATAAATATGGATACTGACAGGGGTTCACCTAAACCAGTGGCCGGGACATAGCAGACTTCACTCTACTTCTTTTCCCTACCAGGACAGCCCTGAAAGAGGACGGACTCTTCACTCACCATCTGGCCAACCGCTGGCATCAGTAAATATCAACTGGGGACACTAGTATCAAATAACTGAGACTCAAAGGAGACCTCCTAGAATTTTTCTTCTCAAAATTTCCCCCCATTTCCTATCTTTTTGTCTCCAAAATGTCCCTACCCCTTTACAAGGCTCATCCCATCACTGCTGCTTCTATCCTCTGGATATCTGTCGGTGGCCTTATTAAGTCCCTCTACCCTTTTCATTTTAACTTTTTCCTTCTCCATTACAGCCTGCAAACAAGTGCAAGTTTCTCTCACTTAAAAATTTCCAACCTCAACTCTTAAGGAGACATCCTATCTAGCCTTCTGGAAGAATCTCCCAACCTTCTATGGTTCTATTTCTTACTCATTCTGAACCTGTGCGTGATCTTGCACCCTAATGATACTGTTCTCTTAAAGGTCAACAGAACTTCTCACTGCTGCATCTCCCTGCCCAATCCCAACTCAACTCCTGCAAGGACTGACTCTTGGATCATCCCTAGCTTTTCAGAACTCAACTCCTCCTTAGCTTCTCCAAATTCTTCTATTTTCATTTACACACTTATTCCTCTTCTTCATCTATACTCAGTCCCTGGAACCATGAGGCCAAAACTCTACTGGCCCACTGAGGCCAGAAAGGGACATTAAATGAATGATGAGGTCAGTTAAGACCTGTGTCCAAATAGAGCTCTCACGCCTCTTCCTAAGAGGGCAGGTGCTACTCAGCTCCGATGGATTGCTGTTGTGGAGGAACAGCCACGCCGACCTACTGCAATGAAAAACTGGGGTTTCAAACAAGAACAACCAATTCAGATACACACACCAACACCAACACCATCCACACACTGTGCAATCCAAGGGAAAAACACCTGTCAGACTTACTGAGCCAAAAAGCCACCAGTGATCAACCTCGGTACTAGTCAACCTCATTCTCCTACAGAGTGAAGTATCAGTAGGTAAGATCCTGATGATCTGAGGCTCCAAACAGTAATTCCCAACTGGACATCCCCCACGGATATCCCACCAATATCCCAGAGAACAGGACCAAAATCAGACACATCAACTATCACCCCATCACAATTTTCCTCTTTCCTGTCTCAAACTCTTTCTGATCACTATCCTTTCAAGTCAACTGTGACAGAAATCATGGAGTTACCTGTGACCCCTTCCTCCTATCCCATCTCCAATTAGTTATCGAGTTATGAAGCTCCTCCCTCCACACTGTCCTTCATATCTGTCCCTACCCTTCCACTTCCCTCTGCATCAAGTTCATACTGGTTGATACCTTGGCAATTCACCCTTCTCTCAGCTCTGCAGTTATCCTCCTAAAACCACGACTGACTCTGGGGCTTCCCTTCCTCTTCAAAGCCCTCCCCAGCCCTCAGCACAAGCCCTCTGGCTTGTGCGTCTGCCAGAGTCCAGAGGTATCCAACGTTGTGGTCTCCCTGACTGTGTTCACAGCTGTTCACCCCATGAAACCACATTCCCTACGGGCAGAACTCATCGTATTCATCCCTGTGTGCAGACAGTAGGTGTGGACATAAATTGATGGGGAAACCACACATTAAAGAAAAAGTTCAAAACGAAGAAGCCACAGGCTGAAGAAGTTACCCTTTATTCAGGATTAGGTGTATTTATTTTATCCTGGGCTGGAGCCAGGTACTAACCAAGGTCATTTTAGTCCTGTAGCATGTGAAAACAACAAGAAAGCCTTTTAACATGCTGCTAGAAAGAATAAAATACTATTTCTAGGGAATGTGTCAATTAGTCTTTGGCATTGTTAATATATTAAATATGTCAATTTTCAGTACTGTCAGTGATAACAGCTTTTAAGATCACTGGCAATTATAGAAAGAGAGTACAAAACTGGGATACATCTCCTGTCTGCTTCAGGGACTTTTCCCAAGAGTCAAGGCACCTACCCCTCGCCCTCCCAATCTGAAATAGTAGAGGTCTCCTCTCTTTTAACTGAAGAACCCATCTCCTAGAATCTTCCGGAAAAATGCGAGAAATAAGCAACCACTTGAAATTACTTTGAAATTCTACACAGTTTAAGCAGCATTCATATACAGTTAAGAATATCAGATCTTGCACTCTAGTTTGGATCCTGGGAAGAGTTTATGTACCCAAATCCTAAGAATTCAGGAATAAACCTTTTATTGCCCAAGAACATACTGATCATGTTTATAACCTCATCAGTCTCCTGGTGAATACCAGCAGTCTCTGCGTGGGGGCTCACTGCACCACCTAACTGGGCTTCCCTGGTTAGGGAAGCCACACACATCTGCCTCCAAAGCCACCCCTTCAGTGGTCTTGTTCTAATGTCTGCAGAGGTGAAGACAAGCATCCTCGGCTGGAACTCCACATCATGGTCCTCAGCTTGAAGATACCTTCTCTGGATAGCAGAGCACCCAAAAGTAGGGGTCGCTGCCTCCCTGTGAAAGGTTTAAGGCAAGCCTGCTCCAATCCATCAACCTTCCTCTCCCCAACCTGTCTTTCTCTCTCTCTCTCTCTCTCTCACACACACACACACACACACAATAATACCCATCCCAGACTGGCATTAAGACAGCTGTGGTTGCCACGATGAATGTTCTAGTTGTACATTAAACTATCCTCCCCACACACACAGCATGCTTAATAAGAAGCTTGCTGATGCTCACAAAATGGCAAAGCTCATATATACCTTCCCTGCCCTTATGCCCTTTCTCTAAATCTGCAGACTCTTCTCGGAAAAATAAAGTCCTAAAGTATACAGTTGAAGCCTAAGTCAAGATTATGCTGCAGCATGTCAAGAAGATATTATTCTCTGCCTAAACTTTTGATCTGCTGCCTTTCAGCCTCAACCATCACATGACCTTATGAAAACTCCACTCTCACACACTTCAGTCAACAGAGCCATATTTCATGTCAAACAGGATGAGACTGCAAGCATCTGTTCGGAAGGTTCTTAGACATAACAATGAAAGGCACCTTGAAGAAGATTAACAATCATCACTGAATCTGAGGATTATGAGTCTTGGCTCATCTGCCTTCTGGAGTGATTAATCTCTAAACTTCAAGAAAAATAACAAAACAAACACACTCAACAATAAACTGTGTTTTATCAGGAGCTAGTTTCTCAGAAGTTAGGTGTGACAGGAGACAAAAATCACAGTGTGGTGTGGCCTCACTACTCACCGAAGGGTCAACCTGGTCATTGGTCACTCCTCGCAGAACTATTCTCAGCGGGTGCTTCATAAATGGAGCCAGGCAGAGCAGACTCTCCAGATAATACCCAATGCTGCGAAGAACGCTGCAGTCATGCTCCATGGACCCACCATACAAGAGGCCAGGCTGATAATATAAGGTCGTTCCTTATAACAGAGGAAAGAAAGTCAGCAGAAGGAAAAAAAAAAGTGTCACAAAAGAAATGAAACAGTCAGTCCCAAGGGGAAAGTCTGGCAAGGGCATCCAAGAGTTCAAAATGCCATTCCTGAGAGCCCACATACTTCACTCCAAAAGCTGACTCATTACTGTCAAGTCCTTGTAACAATAATAAACTGTGAGTGTAATTTAATAAACAGTAATAAATTAAACCCCTCCCTAAGCCATCTGAATTGCCAGAATCACGGCAGGGCACAGAGGAGATATATCCTAACAGGCACCCTAGTCTCCCAACAGCATGCTCTCAGATTGTGCCAAAGTTGGGGTTTATAAATGATGTTCTGAAATAATCGTGCCAGCAATCAGCTTCTTCTAGGCCCAGGAAATCAGATTTACCAATACCACAGTCACCAAACTAGGTACCTGGAGAAGGCAAGTACTTTATGGTACTCACTTCCATTAATAGTAACTATTTTAATTTAATAATAACAAATGGAAATGTCTAAAATTATTGAACTGCTTTAGTGGAAACACTTTATCTTTCTTTATTCTTTCAAATGTGCATATCATCCAAAAAGTTTCTTACTAGGTTTACATATTAGAGGAAAAACCAAATAAAATATGCTAGATGATTCAGGGGGTATGAAGAAATGAACACAATATATTTTTGATACTAATAATTCTCCTGGCACAATCTACCAATAAAGAAATCTAACATTAGAGGAAGGAGCCATGTTCAGTCACCAAAAGGAAAGCAGTTCTTGGGAGTTTCACACAAGAAATACAGGTTTCACAATATTAAAAAATCAAAATCACAATAATCACAATCAGAATCATAGTCTAATCAAAGTTGGAAAACTGTACTTTAGTTATTCTAAATACTATTTATGACACAAAACAATCTTTTAGGGTCAAAAGCCCGCAACTCCCAAAGACTATAACCACGAAACTCTGCACCAAAATCTGTCTATGCCAGCAAATTAACCAAATAAGAAACTAACCAGATCATCAAAATGAAGAACCAACAAAAATCACTGAAAACATCCCCAGCAATTTCAAAGTAAAGGCGTCAAGGAAGACTAAAGCAATCACAGCTTGCAAAGGGCATCTGATGTTTTACTCCTGAAACCCGTTCCCTGTGAGGTATGGCTGAATGCAGCTACAGATCAAGTCCCATGGCCACTTATAAAGCCAAGCTCGTCTTCTCCCTTAACAGAGCCAATGCACAGAAAAGTTCAGTTTCCTCTGCTAAAAACATGTGCAAAGGCACATAGCTCATGGAGACAATCAAAGCATGTTTGCCATGATCATCTACACAACGTAGATAAAAGTCTCTAATAACAAAAAAAAAAAAAAGAAGGAAAAAAAAAAACTAGACAAAAAGCTAGAAACAACCTAAATGTTTACCAGCAGGGAACGGTCAAATAAGTTATCATGTATCCATACAACAGAATACAATGTAAGGCCACTGAAAAATTGAGATGGATCTACATGTGCCTGGCAAGCAAATTCCTTGAGACATCTGTGCTAATGAAAAAACAGCTGGCTGCAGAACAGTATGAACAGCCTGATCCTGTTGATGGTTTGAGATACAAAAATGCCCATGGAAGCAAATACATATAAAGGAGACCAGGACAAAATCCCCATGGCTGCCCCTGGGAGANGAAAAAACAGCTGGCTGCAGAACAGTATGAACAGCCTGATCCTGTTGATGGTTTGAGATACAAAAATGCCCATGGAAGCAAATACATATAAAGGAGACCAGGACAAAATCCCCATGGCTGCCCCTGGGAGAGGGAATGGAAGGGGAAACAGGGGAAGAGATCTTCACATTTTTTTGCACATACTTATATAAACTTATTTTAAAAGACAAAATAAAAAAAAATAAAATTCATCACATACAGCTACCTCAGAGTTTGTTGTAAGATTTTATTGTGACAACATAAGCTAAGGGGACATTGAAAAGCTGTATATAAAGTTAGGTATAAAACACTTCTATTGTTTAAAAGAGAGGAGGTGCTTGTCTGTTTATCCGAAATTTTCACTCTTCTCACTTCCTTAAGTCACATATATGTCCCTTAAATTGGTAACTGCACATACTGTCTTCAGACAATCACATCACAGACAGAAAACTGGACCTTTCCATTCAAATACAATATTTATACCATCAAAAAGGGTGAGTAACAGAGGAGTATTTAAGTAGTACGTGTAAGTGCTTTCAGGAATGGGAAGAAAAGGAGCTTACCTGTTTGGTTTATTTCAATTCGAGAACCATTAGTTACTTTGTCCAACAGTCTTATGAAGCTGGCTTCAAAATCTGTGGGGAGAAAAGAAAACTGATTGGCCTCCAATTAGGTCATCATTTCCAGACAGCACATCCCATCCAAGTATTGCAGTGCGGGGTAGGTTACTTCCTGCATCACACTGGGTTCTTCACAGCACCTGGGAGAGCACATTGGCTAAGGAATCTGAAACAGTTGAGAAGCACTGATTGGCATTTGTATGTCTTGCTGTTGCTGTTGTTGAGTCGCTAAGTAGTGTCCAACTCTTTTGCAACCCCATGAACTTGGCCCACTAGGCTCCTCTCTCCATGGGATATCCCAGGCAAGAGTACTAGAGTGAGTTGTCATTTCCTTCGCCAGGGGATCTTCCCAAACCAGGAATCGAGCCCGTGTCCCTTGCATCTCCTGCACAGGCAGACAGATTCTTTACCACTGAGCCACCTGAGAAGCCCATATGCAGGTTTAGCAGAACTATTAAAAACAACTCAGCTTTTGTATTCCACCAAAAAATAGGAACTCTACCAGCAATATAGTGGGATATTAATTTCAGCAGCATAACACCCAATTGTTCTGATCTCAGGAGTGTGTGCCAAATGAGAGAAAGAACAGAAAGCAGGAAAGAGTTTTAAAATCAAACTCTTACTTGCTGCAGAATACCCTTCAATCTCAGAGACAGTAAAAGGTCACTGCCTCTCTCATTCAACAAAGTGTCCCTTCTCCCTTCCTCTATCATCTTATTGATCCAGAACTTTCTAATCAGTTCAGTTTTTAATTTTATTACAAGGTACCTGAATATACAGTATTATCACCTTTTTAATGTGTGAAAAAGATTAGAAGAAAAAAACACCAAATGTTAATAAATAGGCTTCTCTTCACAGTAACATTTTATATGAATTTTTCTTGTTTAAATTTGCTTCAGTTACTTTTATGAATAAACTGTTATCAAAGCTGTTGAGGTTTCACAGAAAACAAAATTCTGTAAAGCAATTAACCTTCAATAAAAAGAAATTAATTAAAAAAAAACAAAATACAAAAGCAGGTTAGTCTCTAAAACATGAGGGGGTAGATTGTAAATGTGAAATATGAAAAGACAGAGAGAAGAATCAGGAGTATATATTCTCTGTTCTCCTGAATTGATATTATATACATACACACATACACACGGAGCTTTATCTTCAACATCCCTCCCATGAACAGAAACAGGAAGACCAAGTCTCTGTACTGAAAGCATGGTGACCGCCCGATGCTTTCAGGCAGTTCCTGCTGCTGCTGCTAAGTCGAGTCAGTCGCATCCGACTCTCTGCGACCCCAAAGACAGGAGCCCACCAGGCTCCTCTGTCCCTGGGATTCTCCAGTCAAGAATACTGGAGTGGCTTTCCATTTCCTTCTCCATCAGGCAGTTCCTACTCCTCTAATAAACTAGCAGAGTTTGAGAGCACAGACCTTAACAGTAACCTAAACTGATCCCAAAGGGTGAGCAGATCAACGAAGCAATTCCCATCCACCTGTTATTACTTAACGCTGTCCCATAACTCATGTCACAGCAGATTCTGCAATCTGTACAAAGAGCACTGGGCTAGAAGTCAGAGAAGCTCTCTTAAGTCCTGAAATAAGGCATAATGGCTAATAACAGCAGCTGTGTATTAATGCTTACCTTATATAATCCTCAAAACCACTAAGCAGAAGTGCTTCCGGTTTTATAGAAGGCTGAGGCCCAACTGGCAGAGTCAAGACTTGAACCCAAGTCTGCCCTTCTCTAGAGTCCATGCTCTAAATCAAACCAGGGCTGGGTTTGCCTCACTCAGTTTAATCTCTCAAAGCTAACCTCCTCCTCTAGAAAATCATACTACCTTTCAACTGCAGGCAGTGATTTACTGACGGTCCTACAGATGACTTAATGAGTCCCCAGTCAACATTTATCTTTAATGAAATTAGAACAGAATAAACACTATCAGTTACATAGTAAGGGTGTTGTTAATGAAATTTTAGTCTCAGTTCAATATATACTTGTATATGTATTAGGTTACAGTAGAAGTAGCACCACGAAAGTTCAAAGGTTAAATCAGGTACAAAACTGAACTACATATTATTTCTAAGGTCTTTTTATATAGAATATTCTATGTTTTTAATGTAGGCAGGATGTATAATGCCATGCCACTGTCTACTATGTTTATAGAAAATGCAAGGTATTCTGCACAAAAAAAGAAAATTTGACCTGCTCAAGCTTTCAGGCTGCCTAAACAGGTGAGACAAACAAGCATTTATGAATAAAGTCCAAGATTATAAACTACATAGCTTTTATAAATTAGTAAAGAAAAGAAAACAAAAAATTATTTTGAAAGTAGGTGTTTTTGTTTTTTGCAATCCACGGGGGCTCTTGAGCATGAACAGTTAAAAATGCCCAGCAGTGGAACACAAGTAGGAAGAAAATGAGCACTTATGGAGACCTCCAGACAAAACCATCCCCAGGTCACAGTAAACAGGTGCCTTAGAAGCAGTACCTCAAAGAACCAACACAGAGCTAGTTCCTGAATCCTAGTAACAGTGAAGATACAGCTCCATCACCTGGTACGAAAAAGATCTCAAGTTCGCCTAATAATAGTCAGACTGAAGCCTCAAACTTCTTAAAACAAGATGTGTAGGATTCCCTGCCACCTCACTTCTTCAAGACTGCTCCCAGGAGTACAGAACTTCAGATATCTAGCATTAGGGAGGAAGTTCTCCCCAAAAGCACAACTTTACTAGATGGTTTAAGAATACATAATTAGGTTACATAGCTATAAGGAGAATCAACATGAATGCCACAATGGTCAGGAGACTGGCTACCACTAGGGGCATGGAAGGGAGAGGTAAATAAAACAGGTCAGTGAAGGTGTGCACAATGTTCTATTTCTTGACCTGGATAGGATCACACGGATGCTCATTTCTTAATCCAATAAGAACTACTTTTATGTTTTATGAATTTTTCATGTTATACTTCACACTTTCAACAAAATTGTCCTTTAATTTCAGGATTTTTGACTTTTAATTAAAAGGAAATTGACCATTAATTTAAGGATTCCTTAAATACTACCTCCCATACATAATGATCTCCCTTCCCAAGACCCCCAAAGAAGGGAGTTCATCATTTCTTTAAAGGGACTGGTAACTTCTAGAAGACTTAGTGGCACTCAATATTAGAACTAAGCCTGACCCATTCCTCACCAAAGAAAGACAAAAAGTCATGTCTTAAAGGAGGGGACTGAAAAAAGGAATACAATTCAAAGATCTACCCTTTAAAAACAAGGAGCAAATCTCAAGAAATAGATTCAACTTAAAAGTATTGTAATGATTCAAATAAATTATGACACATCTATACACAAGAACACTTTGCAGCTATCAAAACAGTGGGATTTTTCATACACTGATATGAATCGTCTCCATAGTATACTGACTGGGAAAAAAGTAAGATGCAAATGGCCTTTATTTGAGAAAGGAAACTGTGTCTATTTGCTTATTTATGGGAAAAAAAGAGCCCTGAAAAGAAACACAACCAACCAACAACACTGGTTGCTTCATACGGAAGGAAGATTGGGAAAGAAACAGAGACACTTTGTAAACCGCTTTGTTTTGAATTTCATGTCATATGTACACATTTTTAAAAACTAGATAAAAATTAAATTGAAAAAATATAAATAAAGGTACTGTAACACAATTTAAAGAAACAATAAACACTGCTCTCATTAAATAGCATATGAAAGGTCTTTTTTTTTCCATTTTGCTTTATTAGTTGGAGGCTAATTACTTTACAGTATTGTAGTGGTTTTTGCCACACAGTGACATGAATCAGCCATGGATTTACATGTATTCCCCATCCTGGTCCCCCCTCCCACCTCCCTCTCCACCCGATCCCTCTGGGTCTTCCCAGTGCACCAGGCCCGAGCACTTGTCTCATGCACCCAACCTGGGCTGGTGATCTGTTTCACCCTAGATAATATACATGTTTCAATGCTGTTCTCTTGAAACATCCCACCCTCGCCTTCTCCCAGAGAGCCCCTTGAGCACTTGTCTCATGCATCCAACCTGGGCTGGTGATGTGTTTCACTATAGATAATATACATGTTTCTATGCTGTTCTCTAGAAACATCCCACCCTCGCCTTCTCCCACAGAGTCCCAAAGACTGTTTTGTACATCTGTGTCTCTTTTTCTGTTTTGCATACAGGGTTATCGTTACCACCTTTCTAAATTCCATATATATGCGTTAGTATACTGTATTGGTGTTTATCTTTCTGGCTTACTTCACTCTGTATAATGCGCTCCAGTTTCATCCATCTCATTAGAGCTGATTCAAATGAATTCTTTTTAATGGCTGAGTAATATTCCATGATGTATATGTACCACAGCTTCCTTATCCATTTGTCTGCTGATGGACATCTAGTTTGCTTCCTGAAAGGTCTTTATAATACAATGCAGCCATCATTTTTTAAATAACTGCTTAATTACAAATGAAAATATACACACTATTTTAAAGAAAAAATTTTGTAAGTAATACATACAATGTGATTACAATTCCGTCAGAGACAGAACTAAAAGAAAAGACAGCAAATCATTAACACATGAAATTAGGAGTTAATATTTTCAACATTAAATCCAAAAAAGGTAGAAATTACAAATGCATAACCAAGTCTCAGAATAAATTAAAGGATGCTCACTCACCTGGAAATAATATATACATAAAACATTTACATATTTTATATAATTATGCAGAATGTGACAAATAATAAGTTACTTGAACTTAAATACATCACATCTTTCCTAAATTATAAATCACATCAGTTCAGTTCAGTGGTTCAGTCATGTCTGACTCTTTGCAATCCCGTGGACTGCAGCATGCCAGGCTTCGCTGTCCATTATCAACTCCCAGAGCTTGCCCAAACTCATGTCCATCAAGTTGGTGATGACATCCAAACATCTCATCCTCTGTCATCCCCTTCTCCTCCTGCCTTCAATCTTTCCCAGCAGCAAGGTCTTTTCAAATGAATCAGGTCTTCACAT